TGATTCTGATAGTAGGACGTTACTGGGGCAACTTTGGGCAGGGGTTTTATCAAAATCTAGTCCTTCTTTGTAGTACCCTTAGGCCACGAATTTTGCTTTATCCTTAACAATGATGCCTTCCTTTCGGGAGATCCCTTTATCCTATTCAAAGCTGATGATAGGATCTGGACACAAGTTTTCAGGAAATGTTCTTTGAGTACTTCTTTCATAGCTTGTGTGCAGTCAGAGTTCGGTAGGGTTTCTCCAGTTATCAATATTTTTCTGAGGAGGATGTAGGTTCAACCAATGTAGTTTATTTGAGATACATGCTCATCCTCCTTTATCATCTGGTAGAGTGAAGATTGGGATCTTTTAAGCCTTTGTGCTTAGTTCAGCTGAAGCGTCTGGACAGTTGATTTAGAATGAGTCAACTGCTGGCAGTGATCTCCCATTGTAATCCTCTGCTGGCAGTGGTCTGCTTACTTGAGTCAACTGCTGATTCCAGAGTTCAGTAGTCTTTTAGCTTCTTCTCTGGGAGGGCAGCTTGGAGCCTTTCCAGTGTTCTTCAAGAAAAGTCCCTTGCATGGTTTACTCAATTACTTATTGATGGTTATGTAATTGAGATGGAGATATCACTTGATGATACCACCTGATGGTACCACTTGATGGTTTTTGAGCTTGAGATGGCTATGATGTGGTGCCATTTTCAACTCATGTATGAGTTCTGCTTTTGGAGAGCAGATTCCTTCTTTTGTAAAGTTCAATCAATACCATGCTTCTTCTTATTCCTTTACCAGTTGGCACAACTTTGTTCTGGGCATCTAAGCAGATGTCCATGGAGAATATCATAGTGTGAACATTATCTTGGAGCTGGCTTGTGCTTCTTGAATTTGAACTTCAATCCTAGGTTGGATTGGAAGTTCTCATTTGATTTGGATCTTCCAGCTCCTTTGTTTCTCCGGTTTCTTCTCATTCCCAATTTGTAAAATTGGGTCCTTCTTCCAGATCTCATCACTTGATAGTAGCCCCCTGCTAACTATCATGTGCATGGAGTAGCTTGAAGATAAATCTTTTCAATGTTGGCTACTCCAGCACCTTCCCGTTTTCATCGGTTTTGAGTAACAGCCCACAAGTTTGTGGGCATCTTCCCTTGAATGCGTTTGGGCATCCATACCAATTTAGGACCATTTGAATTTGAGCTGATGGGTCTATAGCCGTTAGGATTTATGTTTCCATGAGAAAAGGCTATATGACTGTGACCATTATTCCTTGTGTTAGGGGGTGAAGGAATATGAGCATTAGAAGTGATCAGCTTTTTCTGAGATAAGTTGTTGGTCTTTTTGATTGGTTGCCAACCAAGTCTTTGATTTGGTTGGTTATTCAGGAAGTTGAAATTGTAGGGAAGTTTGGATTTTGGTCTGGAGGAGGACTGAGTCCTTTTCTTTGACAGAGTTTGGGAGTGAGTTTGTTGGTGGTTTGAATTCCTTGTGTCTTGTAGATCTGTGGTGGGTTTTGTGATAGGAGAGTATTTGGAAGAGTCTTCAAGTGGCTTGGATAAGGGTGTGAATCCCAATCCTGTGTTCTTCCAGTTGTGATGGATTTCCTCACTAATAAGGGTAGTGAGGGGGCTCAACCTTTCTTTTAAACTGAAGTTTTTGAGTTCAAGAAAATCATTTCTCTTTATCACTTCACCCATTTGAGCTTGGGCTACTATTAGATTAACTTGAAGTCTACAGTTTTCGTTCATTAAAAGAAGGTGATCCTTTTGAAAGTTTTCAAATTGAAGGAGTAGAGCTTCCATGTCAACACTGGAACAGCTAGAGTGAAATGAGCTGTTTGAAGAACTAGATAATACCTCATCATTATCATTGCTTGTAGTTCCGGCCATAGAGCAGTCATTGAAGGAGTTTCCAACATGGTGCATTCCATAGAGACAAATCAGAGTCTCTTCATCATCTCCTGATGAACTGCTTTCATCACTTGAGCCTTTTTGATCATCAACTGATTGAATCATTGAGAGCTCATCCCAGACATCCTTGGTTCTCCAGTCATCCTTAGTTAGGCAAAGAATCTGTTGCCAACCGTTTGTCCATTTCAGAAAGTGTTTGGGGTGTTGAGTGGTTTGGATCTTTAGTTCAAATTAGTCACAAACTGACTCTAGGAACACTCCGCTCTGATACCACTTGATGGTCCCGGATAGGGTAAAAGTTTAGAGGGGGGGTGAATAGACTTTTAAATCTTTTTGACCTTGACAAAGATTTCCCTCTAGAGGAGTTGATCTATAATCTTTTGAGAGATTAATAGATGCACAGCGGAAGTCTTTACCCTTTATATATAATGAGTGTTTTAACCACTTTCTATAACTGGGGAAGATTGGACTTAGATAGCTAGCAGTTGGTTTGGCAGTTGACTTAACAGTTGGCTAGGTAGTAGGGAACTGCTGAGGCAACTACTAGACTAATACAGACTTTATGATGAAGATGATGATGTAATATTGTTTAGGATGATGAGGGCAGTGGGACAATATCCTTTAGTTGAAAGGAAGCTACAACTTTATTTCAGCAGTGGTCTCAGCAGTTGGGTGGTACTGAGGTAACTGCTGAGTCACCTGCTTGTATTATAAACTGGGATTCGTAGCTTGGCTCAGACTGCCTTCTTACTAGAGATGTTATGAGACTGTGATGATACTTGAGATGTTCACAGGAAGTAAGTTTGTATAAGCAGAAGGCTCAGCAGTTGTGTGGTCACCAGGGGACTGCCGAGGTCTCTGCTATACTTGAAGAGTGAATTCCTGGAATTTGAAAGAGCGACTCTTCTAGTGATTATGTGACCTTGTATAGTGTGATGAGGGCTTCCTGATTGGATACTGAGCTTGAGAATTTAAGGTGTTTTTTCCTAAGCAGAGGTCTCAGCAGTTGAGTGAAACCAGGGAACTGCTGAGCCACCTGGTTCAGTAAGAGAAGTTATTTCTGGCAAAGTGTACCTTTAGACAGTGAGGTTGCGAAGCTCTTGTGAAAAGGTTATCTCAAGAAAAGGTGAGTGATTAAGCAGTAGGATAAGCAGTTGGGTCAGTTAAGACAACTGCTTAAAATGCTGCTGGCAAACCACAATTTCTTATACGAGAAGTGTTGGGTGTGTGCTTTGTTGACCAAGGAAATCAACACACGATATATCTTGGTTCAGAGGTGGTGTAATCCTCCTACATCCAGTCCCATCCTATTTCAAATGGATTTCACTAATGTATTAAGCCCAATACACTTAGTGTCAATCTAGCCTTGACAACTCTGGCCTAGATTGAAGGTGTTTCACGAGGAGTACAACACCACTCCAAGCTACTCAATCCTTTAGGTTTTTCTCAATTGATCCAGTGGGGATCAAAAGGTACTCCTAACCTATCTAACTACACTCAGGCCGGGAACAACTGTCCTCCTGAAGTGTTTACAACAATTTCTGATTGTGATTACAAGAAAGTTCTAACCTCCAACTAGGAACTAAACTTCTATGATGTTGGCAATGAATACTTGATACTGAGAAGTTTAGTGAAGCAAGAGTCTAAGCAGAGAGTCGTGGATAGAATAGCACTTCTTGCTCAGTGAAATATCTCTCTACTTAGGATGCTCAGGCTTGGTTAGAAACTTTCGTTTCAGCCTCTATTTATAGGCTTTTTGGCTGATCAATCTTATCCGTTGGTTAGGATAGTTTGATCTCTATCGTTGAACTTCTGGCGAGTACGAGCAGTACTTTTGTCTCTTGTGCAGCAGTATTTATGGAGGATGTTTCTATCTCCAATAATCGCCGGGCATCTTTTGAGGGTGTGCGTCCCATGCGTGTAGGTCCATGTACCTGTTTTTAGCATTTAAGACAGGTATAGTTTTGTCTTCCAATCATACATGTTCAGTGTATGATTTTTCGGGCCTTTCTCTTATTGTGACCAAGAAAATTTGTGCACAGATAAAATATACCGGTAGGATCTAAAATATCCTATTAAGGTAAATAAATATTACCTTATTGCATTTTTACTTTTCCGGTAATATTTTCTTTGTATCAGCAAATTGTACATTTATGTGTCACTTCAGGATAAATCAACTTTTGATGCCCACCACCATGTGTCTCTTCCTTTTTGTGACGAATTTAATTTGTGATAAAGTAAATATATACCGGTAGGATTTAAATATCCTTTTTAAGGTAAGAATTACCTTATTGCATTTTGACTTTGCCGGTATAATTTACTTAATACAAATATTTTTCTTTTTACTTTTGGTCACTCTTGGTTGTGTATAACTCATCCCTTATTCCGAACGTAAACCGAGTATTTAACTAGTAGGATAACAAATCCTATTAAGGTAAAAATTATTACCTTATTGCATTTTGTATTCCAGTTCTAATAAATAGTTTATTTGTTCGAAATGTTTTGATGTAACAAATAAATTTAATTGGTTGGATTTATGAGACATCCTTTTTAAGATAATAGAATATTACCTTATTGCTTTTTATGTTTTTCCAGTTATATTTATTTGTTAATTTGATAGTTCGGATGAGACACTTTTTGGATAATATTTCACTAGCACTTGGTTGGAGATAGATACAATATCTTGACTTCTTAGTCCTACAAAAGAGGGGGGGGGGGGGGGGGGACACAGAAGAGCTTTTGGCATCATCAATAACTGTTTATCAAAATCTAGGGGACTAACAATATTAGTACTCATCTTTCTACTTTTGGATGTATTGGTAGATATTTTGCTCCTAAATTAATTAGGGGACATGAGAGTACGCCCCACACCTTCCTAGCACCTGCAAAACAGGTAGAATAAGTTAGAGCACATAAATGGGGCGGACCTATGGAGTTGAGAGCTCAAACAATACAAAAAGAAATAAAAGAGGGGGATCATCCCATGTTTGATTGGAATCAGACACCCTACCTATTATTTTTGTGAACCACATGTTAGGATAACCTTTTGAGAGCTCCTAAACACCTCTCTCTCAACCCCATTCGAACTCAAAGCGATAATGAAGAAGTAAGAGCCGCACAAACCATTCTAGAGGGAGATAGGATAGCTGGCCGCAGGATATTTTTCAGGTGCGTAGGCCTTCTTGTGCGACTCATATCTCGAGTTTTACTCATCCAAAAGGGGCGTGGTAGGTGTCCACTGAAAGCTCTCGAAAAACGGAATCCATAGGCGTTCGGTTTGAAGAAAACGGATCAGTTTAAAACCTCCAAATCATCCTAGAAGAACGCAATCTTGCAGAATATGTTTTTGGTATTCAAAGTAAGTTCGAATCCAAAACCTTCCTTTCTATTGCATAAATCCTATGAATGATTGAAGAACTATTATACACTGGTTTAAGTGTATAAAATGTTATTACAGAGTAACTTTAATTGTTGGAAAAGTTAGATACTAACCTAGACAAAATCTTGAAAGGTTAGGGAACGAATTCGCCGGAAAACACCCATTCTAGGGACTGTTTTCGTGTTGACGTTTAGGGGTTGAGCTAGCACTATGAGGAGGATGATTAACACTCATATTTAAGCTAGGAATCAGTTCTTAATACACCTTGGCCGAAGCTTTGACCATTGGATCGAGAAGGAAAAGTTTAAAGCTCAATTAAGGTGAGGATCGACATCTAGTTGCTTACAACTTGTAGGTTAAGCATGAGATTACCTAAATGCCTAAATCATGTTTTTCATGGATTATAATGACTGATTATTGATGAAATATTGATATACTAGATAAGGAATGATTTTGTAAATGATTTGAAATCATATTGATAAAAATGGAGTTAAATGAACTATTGTGTGAAATAGGCATTTTTACTCATGTGTGAATTGTGTAGATACATAAATGATTATTTATGTATTATATTGGATGATTAAGTTGCTGCTACATATTTCTAAATATGTAGGGATTTACAAATGGAATATATGATGGATAAAGATAATCTTAATAGTATTGAAATACTAGTTAATGATTGTTGTAATTGTTAAGGAATTAAGTCTAAGGATTTGATTGTAATTGATGTACTTGATTGTGATGCAAGTGACTAAATTGACGTGATATGATGTAAGATCATGATGAGGCAGTCCGTAAGGATGTCCCGAAATATATTATTGATATTACAATTCTAGGCATAGCGAGTGCTTAGGAATTGGGGTATATGCCAATGTAAAGAGATGTACTTGAGCCCGATGCTCTAGAATTGCATTAGGTAGACATAAGGATTTGGTTCAGCCCATGTAAGGAGATGTACTTGAGCCCGATGCTCTAGAATTGCATGGGTGAACACGACGTCGGTGATTGGTGGAGTAATTGACTTGTGATTGATGTGCATGGTGATGTAGTCGAGTTCGACTCGAGAAATGCAAACATGTGTGTTAGGGTTGAACCCTATGTATTGTCGTGACTAAGGGTCACGGGGTTTGGGTTATGTTTTGTAAACGAACTTTGGGCCACGGGCCGATTACTTGACTTTATATATAAAGTAAGTATATTTTGAAAAGGGGTAACTTGGGGTTACGGCCTAGATTATATTATCACCCTATTTGAGGGTCTTGTGTTTGAAATACTTGTTGTATATCTATTAGATGCCATCCACACCAGTACTTTATAGCCGTATAGAGTACTGACCCCCTTTCGGGGGGCGTCCCACCACCATTTCAGGTTGAGGCTAGAGCTTGCTACCTGTGCTTGTTGATCGGGCGATCATCTCAGAGGGAAGACTTGGTTCGCGTTTCCTCCATTCTGTTTTTAAACAAATTAAACATGCTCATGGATATTGTTTTTCATTATGGAGCCTGCGTGCTCGTGTTTGCCCCGTGTGGCATTTGAGACGCCTTGTATAATATGGATGAGTTAGACTGCGCTTGACTATTCATATTGTACGGCGGATTTTCAACGTGTCCGGATAGGTCCGGGGCGTGACAATTTATATGCTATCAGAACCTTAGTCGATAAACTTCATAATGAAGACTCAAAATTCTCTTTTCCAAACGATTTTGAAAACCATGAGCATAAATGTTTTGTACTTATAGAACTCTTGGTACTTGAGTTGCAAGGTGTCTAATTGTTAAGATGGTACCCTTAGCAATTGGTATGGCGGCAATTCGAGCCAAGTAGTGTCTTAAGTACCTATCCGTCAATTGACATTTGATACGAGTCTAATGACTCTTTCCAAAATTTCTTTCAGAAATGGATGGTGGTGGCAAGGTTACGAGAAGGAACCCGACGGGCCGTACACCGATGGGGACCGGGCAGGGAAGCCGTGGGGCCTCTAGAGTGTCTAGAGGGGCGAGCCATGGAGGCCGATCGCACACTGTGAGTGACGGTCATGTTGACACCGAGGATGAAACCTACTGGTCCTATGAGGACTCGACTTACCACTCGGAGACCGAGCCGGTTTAGACCCCTTACGAAGGGGATGACGATGATATAAGTGATGAAGATGGGGAGAATGACTCTCTAGCAAGAAATGAGGCGCTGCTCCAGCAATCCCAGCGGGAGCGCGAAGAGAGGAGGGAACACCGAAGGCGCCAAGGAGGGCAAACTTCGGGTGGGGCTTCAAGAGGTAGAAGCCATGGTGACTATAGGGCCCACATTGAACCACATGGGGGCCGGGATGATGGAGGTCCAATCATAAGAATCTCAAAATTTCTCAAGGAGGCGAGGGACTTGGGGTGCAAACCCTTCAATAGAACGGGTGACATCTCAGTCGCCGCGGAATGGATCAAGAGGCTGAACGAAGCAGGCCTTGATATGCAACTCACCCCCGAGTTTAAACTCAGGGTGGCGGTGAGATTGCTTGAAGGGATGGCATCCACATGGTGGGACGGGGCCAAGGGCAAGTATGACAGGACCGTGACTTGGGAGAATTTCCGACAGGAGTTCTTTGCCCAATACTATTCTGATTTTGAGGTGAACGCTAAGAGGAGAGAGTATACCCTCCTGACCCAGGGTGGCAAAATGACGGTGAGGAAACTTGAACAGAAACTCAAGGAGCTCGCGGAGTTCATACCGGAGTATGTCTGTGATGAGAATCGAATGGTTAATCACTTTTGGATTGCCTTAGACTTGGAGGAGATTGAATTTGTGATCGAGGTCGAGCCCGACACCAAACCAATCTCTATACCACCGTACCGAATGGCGCCTGCGGAACTGAATGAGTTGAAAACCCAATTGCAAGAGCTATTGGACAACGGTTTCATTAGACCGAGCTATTCACCGTGGGGAGCACCAGTCCTTTTTGTGAAAAAGAAGGATGGGACTCTACGTATGTGCATCGACTACCAACAATTGAACAAGGTCACCATCAAGAATAGGTACCCTTTACCTAGGATCGATGACTTGCTTGACCAGGTCCGGGGGGCAACGGTATTTTCAAAGATTGACTTGAGATCAGGGTATCACCAAATGAAGATCAAAGAGAGCGACATACCGAAGAGTGCTTTCCGTACAAGGTATGGTCACTTTGAGTTCTTGGTGATGTCATTTGGGTTAACTAACGCCCCAGCGGCATTCATGGACTTAATGAACCGAGTTTTTCATAAGTACTTGAATCAATTTGTAATCGTGTTCATAGATGACATCCTAATTTACTCAAGAAATGAAGAGGAGCACGAGAAACATTTGGTTCTGGTTCTTGAAACACTACAAGAGAAGCAGCTCTATGCCAAATTCTCTAAGTGTGAGTTTTGGCTTAAGGAGATCGGCTTTCTCGGGCACGTGGTTTCTGAAACAGGCATTTCTGTGGACAACAAGAAGATTGAGGCCATTATAGAATGGGAAAGACATAAGAACGTGAAGGAGATTCGTATTTACCTTGGACTCGCGGGCTATTATAGAAAGTTTGTGGAGAAATTCTCAGTTTTGGCATCACCATTGATGAAGCTCACTCGAAAGGGAGCAAAGTTCGTATGGGATGACCGATGTGAGAAAGGATTCTTAGAACTGAAGAAAAGGTTAACTGAGGCACCGGTACTCGCCTTACCGAAACAAGGTATGGGGTACGATGTCTACAGCGATGCGAGCATCCAAGGGCTTGGATGTGTATTGATGCAGAATGGGATGGTGATTGCCTACGCTTCACGACAGTTGAAGAAACACGAGGTGAATTATCCCACTCATGACTTAGAATTGGGGGCCGTGATTTTTGCACTAAAGATATGGAGGCATTATCTCTATGGAGAGACATGTCACATATACACTAACCACAAGAGTTTGAAATATGTGTTTACTCAGAAAGAGTTAAACATGAGACAACGACAATGGATGGAATTGATAAAGGACTACCACCTAGTGATTGATTATCATCCGGGGAAGGCAAATGTTGTGGCCGATGCCCTTAGCTGGAAGAGTTCATCGGGGGCATTGATAACCAACTTGAGGGCATTGAGAGCCCAATTGGAAGTATCAACTAATGGCACCTTGGTGGCGAGATTTGAGGTGAGACCTACCTTACTTGATGAGATCAAGAAGGGGCAAGAGCTTGATGATGAGCTCAAGAAGGTCCGAGAACGCATGCTAGCGGGGCCGGTAGAGGATTTTCGTGAAAGAGACGATGGTCTCTTGTTATTCTGTGATCGAGTGTGCGTACCGTCGAATGATGAGTTCCGAAAGTCCATTCTAGAGGAGGCTCATTCCTCGGCGTATGCTATGCACCCGGGAGGCATGAAGATCTGAAGGAAAGCTACTGGTGGTCAGGTATGAAGAGGGAAATAGCAGAATACATCAGTCGATGCCTTACTTGTCAGCAAGTTAAGGCGGAACATCAGCATCCAGCGGGCTTATTGCAGCCACTTTCCATCCCTGAATGGAAGTGGGAACATGTGACTATGGATTTTGTGGTAGGCTTACCACGAACGATCAGGAGCTATGATGCAGTTTGGGTTGTTGTTGATAGGCTCACGAAGAGTGCACACTTTTTACCTATCAACACCACTTACCCACTTGAGAGGTTAGCCAAATTGTATATGGACGAGATCGTGAGGTTACATGGTGTTCCGGTGACCATCGTATCCGATAGAGACCCACGATTCACGTCACGTTTTTGGCCAAAATTTCAAGAGTCTATGGGAACGAGGTTGAAGTTCAGTACTGCGTTCCATCCACATATGGATAGGCAGTCTAAAAGGGTTATTCAGATCTTAGAAGATATGTTGAGGGCTTGTGCATTGGAGTTCCAAGGGAGTTGGGATAATCACTTAGCACTTGTGGAGTTTACCTATAACAACAGTTATCAGGCAAGTATCGACATGCCTCCATACAAAGCATTGTATGGGAGGAGGTGTCGTACACCGTTATGCTGGGACGAGGTTGGCATGGCCAAACTCGAGAGTACTGAGTTGGTTGAGATCACCAAGTCAAAGGTGAAGTTGATTCGAGAGAGACTCAAAATAGCTCAGGATAGACAGAAGAGTTATGCAGATAAGCGACGGAGAACCTTAGAGTTTAAGGTTAATGATTAGGTATTCCTGAAGGTTTCTCCTTGGAAAGGAATCATTCGGTTCCAAAGCCGAGGGAAGCTTAATCCACGCTACATCGGGTCATTCAGAATTCTGGAGAGAATTGGAGCCGTAGCATATCGTCTACAGTTGACTCCAGAGTTAGAGAAGATACACAATGTGTTCCATGTATCTATGCTGAAGAAGTATGTACAGGATCCTTCTCGTGTATTGGAAAAGCCGCCGGTGGAAATACGGGAGGATTTGAACTACGCCGTACAACCGATCAAGATCACCGATAGAAGGGTAAAGAAATTGAGGAGTAAAGAAGTTCCAATGGTTAAAGTCCTTTAGAAGAGTGACCGTGTTGAAGAGGAGACTTGGGAAACGGAAGCTTTGATGAGAGAGCAATACGCCTTCCTATTTGAGTGGCATCGTGAATTTGAGGGACGAAATTCCTGTTAAGGGGAGTGAACTTGTGACACCGCACCCGAACGTCCTGGAAATTCAAATTTAATTTCAAAGCTTATGTACTTAATTTCCCTATTTTCGAACAATTGTAAAAAGATTAAAGTTTTACGGAACGTATGATTAATCATATTACTATTTGGGCTCATATAATGGTAATGGACTTCTAAATAATTGATTGGGCCATATTATTGATATTGGGGCCCAACATCCTTAAATAAAGATATACAACCCCTCGGTACAATGTAAGAGCGGTCGGGCAGCCCAAATGTTATTTTGGGCCTAACCTGCTAAAAATAGTAATTATTCAAGAATGGCGTCCTAGACCTATTGGAGGGTGACCCACACGGTTGGTAGCCCAGATATATAAATATTAATATCATAAATGAATGATAGGATGATTGGAGAAGAATACAAATGCCTATGGTCCCATCTTTCGCATTATTAGGCTAAATAATGGGAGTAGGGATTTCTTTGGTAATTATACATCAAATAAATTATTGGGATCACCCTACACATATTAGAGATCAATAATATGATGTAGAAGGTTGACTTGATCTAAATAAATTGGGGAGAGTACCAAAGTACATTCTATGACAAAAGACAAAAAAAATGATAGGACCCATCTTTCGACTTTTGGATGTATTAGTAGATATTTTGCTTCCAAATCAATTAGGGGACATGAGAGTACGCCCCACACCTTCTTAGAACCTTAAAAACAGGTAGAATAAGTTAGAGCACATAAATGGGGCGGAACTATGGAGTTGAGAGCTCAAACAATACAAAAAGAAATAAAAGAGGGGGACCATCACATGTTTGATTGGAATCAAACACCCTACCTATTATTTTTGTGAACCACATGTTAGGAAAACCTTTTTAGATCTCTTAAACACCTCTCCCTCAACCCCATTCGAACTCAATGGGATAAGGAAGAAGGAAGAGCCGCACAAACCATTCTAGAGGGAGATAGGAGAGTTGGCCGCAGGATATTTTCTAGGTGCGTAGTCCTTCTTGTGCGACTCATATCTCGAGTTCTCCTTATCCAAAAGGGTAGTGGCGGGTTTCCACTGAGAGCTCTCGAAAAGAGGAATCCATAGGCGTGCGGTTTGAAGAAAACGGAGCAGATTAAGGCCTCCAAAGCATCCGAACAGAACGCAACCTCGCAGAATACGTTTTTGGTATTCAAAGTAAGTTCGAATCCAAAACCTTCCTTTCTATTGCCTAAATCCTATGAATGATTGAAGAACTATTATACAATGGTTTAAGTGTATAAAATGTTATTATAGAGTAACTTTAATTGTTGTAATGGTTAGATACTAACCTAGACAAAACCTTGAAAGGTTAGGGAACGAATTCGCCGGAAATCAGTTCTTAATCCACCTTGGCCGAAGCTTTGACCATTGGATCGAGAAGGAAAAGTTTAAAGCTCAATTAAGGTGAGGATCGACATCTAGTTGCTTACAACTTGCAGGTTAATCATGAGATTACCTAAATGCCTAAATCATGTTTTTCACGGATTATAATGACTGATTATTGATGAAATATTGATATACTAGATAAGGAATGAAATTGCAAATGATTTGAAATCATATTGATAAAAATGGAGTTAAATGAACTATTGTGTGAAATAGACATTTTTACTCATGTGTGAATTGTGTAGATACATAAATGATTATTTATGTATTATAGTGAATGATTAAGTTGCTGCTACATATTTCCAAAATATGTAGGGATTTACAAATGGAATATATGATGGATAAGGATAATCTTAATAGTATTGAAATACTAGTTAATGATTGTTGTAATTGTTAAGGAATTAAATCTAAGGATTTGATTGTAATTGATGTATTTGATTGTGATGCAAGTGACTAAATTGACGTGATATGATGTAAGATCATGATGAGGCAGTCCGTAAGGATGTCCCGAAATAGATTATTGATATTACAATTCTAGGCATAGCGAGTGCTTAGGAATTGGAGTCTATGCCAATGTAAGGAGATGTACTTGAGCCCGATGCTCTAGAATTCCATTGGGTAGACATAAGGATTTGGTTGAGCCCATGTAAGGAGATGTACTTGAGCCCGATGCTCTAGAATTGCATGGGTGAACACGACGTCGGTGATTTGGTGGAGTAATTGACTTGTGATTGATGTGCATGGTGATGTAGTCGAGATGGACTCGAGAAATGCAAACATGTGTGTTAGGGTTGAACCCTATGTATTGTCGTGACTAGGGGTCACGGGGTTTAGGTTATGTTTTGTAAACGAACTTTGGGCCACGGGCCGATTACTTGACTTTATATATAAAGTAAGTATATTTTGAAAAGGGGTAACTTGGGGTTACGGCCGAGATTATATTATCACCCTATTTGAGGGTCTTGTGTTTGAAATACTTGTTGTATATCTATTAGATGCCATCCACACCAGTACTTTATAGCCGTATAGAGTACTGACCCCCTTTCGGGGGGCGTCCCACCACCATTTCAGGTTGAGGCTAGAGCTTGCTACCTGTGCTTGTTGATCGGGCGATCATCTCGGAGGGAAGACTTGGTTCGTGCTTCCTCCATTCTGTTTTTAAACAATTTAAACATGCTCATGGATATTGTGTTTCATTGTGGAGCATGTGTGCTCGTGTTTGCCCCGTGTGGCATTTGTTTTCAAAACTATGATTTCCACTGCATATTCAATTACTTATTATGTATGTTTATGGATGACTTATGTGTGAATGATATTCGAGACGCCTTGTATAATATGGATGAGTTAGACTGCGGTTGACTATTCATATTGTACGGCGGATTGTCGACGTGTACGGATAGGTCCGGAGCATGACAATATATGTAGAGCTAATGGCTACAACTTTGGCACTTTAGGCTTCACCACATTGGGGGAACTTGGACCGGAATCAGTTTTGTTTCTTAAGCGCGTTAAGAGTCATATTGCTAGACATGATTCTACTTTAAAAGTTGGCAATTTTTTTTTATTAGGATTGATTTAGCCATACAAAAAGGTGTTGGAGCTCAACTTGTTGTTAGGCTCCCTACTTGTTCTTTGTAATCCTCAACTTTTCTTATCCTAATAAAACGCCATTTCCATAATAATAATAATAATAATAATATAAAATGAGTATAATATTAGTACAAATAGAAATGCTGTAAACTAATATGAACTGATCAGTATAAAAACTATATGTAATATATAGGTATATGTGTGTGTAAATAATATTAATAGATGATATGTATAATATTAATATTGATGAAGGCCAACTGGCCAAGTGAGAGAATAGTCAAGATTATAAAATGCTGAAAACTATATAAGAAATGAAGGTGTGAGCGAAATGAGGCAATAAGAGTATATATTTATAAGTCAAGATTGGTTCCTTATAGTTATCCCTGATCTCGGTTATGATTCAGAATAGAAAAATCAACCCTCTTTAAAAAACAGTGGACTGCCGAAACACAATACATGTTGTTCACTCCTACTTACAATGAACAAATACATCCTTATTGTCTAACTGGGTAGTCATATCAACAAATTCAGGTCAACTGAAAATGTCTAAAACCTATGGTGGTCCGATGACTTATGCAAGATCAGTTGAACACATTCATCGCATAATTAGGCATTGCCTGAATAACATATTTTAATAGCACTGTTTACCCCGCACAAGATAAAAATATGATATTCAATATGCTATTCCAGCTTTTAATGCGACTAACAATTCTTTCCCACAAAATTTCAAAATGGTATATTTGTTCTTCCAAATCAACGCCGGCAGCCATAGATATTGAGATTGACTATTTTCACACGCTGCCCCTAACATGTTACAAGGATAATCCTTCATGGAGTCCTCTACATTAGGACTAAACATGACACTGTGTTTTGTAACATTCACCGCTTGTCCTAACCTCTTTTTCATAATCCACCAAAATACTCTTGACCACCATACACTCCTGTTCTAAAGTTCTGAAAAAGTGAAAATTATCATCAACAAAAAATAGGTGGGAGGTTTTGGAGCTCCCTTACAAATAGCCACACTGTGCATTACGCCTTTCATTTCAGCTCGTCTCAGTAAATCACTCAAACCCTCTGATACAAGTATGAACACACAGGGAGAGAGCAGATCTCCCTGCAGCAACCCCTGGCTAAAATGACTGGCACTAACAACTCTCTATCGAATCAGATATAGTAACTAATTGTTGTAATAAATTGCGTAAGTAAATGAATCCACCTCCTATAAGAACGTATTTGAGACAACATACCCCGCATAAAAGCTCAGTCCACTTGATCATACTCTTTACACATATTTAGCTTTAATGTAAAAAAACCTTCTGTTGGTCCAAAATAGGACGCTCGTAAGCTTTTAGGAAAGCTACGTACGAACACTCAAGCAAGAATCAGGAAAGTAATATGAATCAGGAAAGTCACAAAGGGAATTTGGTAGCCAGAAATAGCATATCTATTATTTGACCCGAACTTGCCTTTTATAGGTGATTACAAATGGTAACTGCCAAAGATACTAATGGCTAACTAATTACAACATTAATACGGAATTAAATACATAGTTAAGTCACGCCTTAATTACTTTGGCCGTTATAGTTCCTGGTTGGCAGGTCAGTCTGGCTGGCAGGCTGGACGCTTGAGCTCCCTCCTGCTAGACTAGACGGTGGGCTCCCCGCTAGGCTGGAGGAAGGCTTCTGATCGGGCTGGAGGTAGGCTCCCGGGTAGGGTGGAAGGCAGGCTCCCCGTTGGGCTGGAGGCAGGGCTGGAAGGCAGTCTCCCACCTGGGCTGGACCGCAGGCTCCCAGCTGGGCTGGTCGGCAGGCTCCTGACTAGGCTGGAAGGCAGGCACCCCACTGGACTGGAAGGCAGGCTCTATTGGGCTTCCGGTTGGGCCGGTAGGCAGGCTCTCCGCTGGGCTGGAAGGCAGGCTCCCAGCTGGCCGGGCTGGAGGGCAGGCTCTCCGCTGGGCCGGTCGACAGGCTCTCTTGGGCTTTCGCTCCTTGACTGGCCTGATCGGTTGGGCTGACTCGAGCTCTAGGTTGCTGGGCTTGGGCCTGCTGGTCCAAGTTCGGGGCCTGGGTCGATTAGGCTCTGGGCCTAGTCCCATAACCCCATCACGAGCCCCCCACTCCCTTAGTCGAGTAGTAGACTCGACTAAGAGGGAGTAGTTCAAGTCAGCTGCCAATTAAAAGATATTCACATGTCAGGGAGCCATAATTGTGGATTCTGTCAATCCCACAATTTATGGAGATTTCCAAATTTTGAATAAGCGCCCAACTTTAAAAGGCTCCGAATTAATTCCCTTAGCGTTCTAGCATTCCAGCAGCAAGCTTTCTCCCAGACTTCAGGATCCAGGTCAGCTTCAAAAAATCCCTAAAATTCATTATTATTATTTCAAAAATTATTTTGGGACTTTATTTTATTATTCCTTCCTTTTCTTTTCTTTCCTTTTCATTTCTTTCCTTCTTTTTTTTTTCTTTCCTTTTCTTTTCTTTTCTTTCCTTTTCTTTTCTTTTTCTTTCCTTTTTTTTCTTTCCTTTTCTCTTTCCCGGTTTCCTGCGTGCGTCCTCCATGTGTCACCCCAGCGCCGCAGCAAACCCGCCGAGCTGACTGACCGCCGCTTCCCTTCCGACGGCTCTACTGGGTCGCCCCCGCCGTGCTAGGCGGCTGTCCCGTGCTCTCCACCGCTGCACACCGTCGCCTTGGCAGTCCGGCAAATCTGGGCGGCCATTTTGGACTCCTGTCGCGTCCGGCTCGTGCATCTCGCATGGGTCGGGGGCCACCCCTGCTGGTCAGCGTCTCCCAAAGGTTGGCGTCCCAGTGGCTGGGTGCCCCACTTGTCCGGCGTTCAGGTTGTCCGGAGAGCCACCACCGCGTTCTTCTGCCGCCGGTCGCTGCCGCCTAGGAATCTGCTGGCCAAGCGTCCAGGTGGAGCTTAGGGTCCAGGTTGAGTGGCATCGTCTCTCTTTTGGCCGGCAAAGCTGTTGGGGCATACGGGTAGCCGCCATGCGTTTTCTTCCTCCTTGGGTTGGCGGAAATCCATGCATACGAAGGATAGGCAGCGATGATGACCGGATCCACTTTACTGTCGGCTGCCGGCGGTGCCGGTCCCCCCCAGTTGGGCGATGGGCTAGGCTGGATTTTCTTTCCCCCAGGGTTCCGCGTTGCCCGACGTTTGATGCTTGGTTGTTTTCCTTCTATGTTTTTTCTTTGCAGGTTTGACTTTCTCCCGGAGATGGCTCTAGCTAGGCAGACCACTACTGCTGAGGGTCGGCAACTGAGCGTTCCAGATAGAGCGCGGGCACAACATGTGGTCATGTCAGATTCCGAGGATGACTCTGGTGCTCGGGAGGACCCGAATCTTTGGTGGGGCCTTGATAATAGCGGGATAGTGAACCTCCCCCCTCGTATCCAAGATGAGGACCTTGCCGTTGCATACAGTTTGATTGGCAATGATTGTTTGTTGGAATCTCCGGGAGCTACTGACATATTGAGCAATCCACCAACTCCCTACTTCGGGGTCCATATCCGCTCTCTGGAGTTACGGATGGCCGTGCCACTGCACCCCTTCCTGGTTCGGTTCCTTCACTTTCTGGGTGTGGCACCGGGTCAATTGGCTCCGGCGGCTCACATGTTCGTTGCAGCTTTTGTGGTGCGGTGTGAGGATGTGGGCCTCACACCCATGATTGATCTGTTTTTCAGCTGCTTCCAGTGGCGTGCTTCTAGCTTTTTCGTCTTACTCTCCCAGAGGCCGGTGAGCAAACTGTTTCGGTCGGGTTACCCCCGTTTAGGGAAGGGGTGCAAGAAGAGATGGATATGGGTATCCGACCCCAACCTCCCGTCACCTCTGCCTTAGTGGGGTGAATGGGTTCGGAAGTGTGACCGGGTCGCTCTCTCCTCTGGTCTCAAGTCCTCCATCGAGATATTGTCCGCAGGCGGTCCCCACTCCATCAGCTCATATTTAGGTGATTATCACCTCCCTGGTCTATGTTTTCTACTTTGTATTTTATTCTGCTTATCCTCACATTTTTCTTCCGCAGTTGTGCCTGAGAAGCTCGTTGTTGAGGCGGAATCCGATGAATAGGAGAGCCTCAACAAGTCATCGTTCCTGCGGCAGCAACGACTGCAAAGGGGAAAGAGCACGGAGCCCCCCCTCCAAGAAGGATGAGAGTTACCTTCGGGCCTCGGCCAACTACGGCAGTGCAGGAGAAGCACAAGGGCGGACTCGTCGACCTGCTAGTCGAATTGGACGGGTCCGATGAGGAGGAGGAGGAGCCCCGCACAGCCGTCGCTCATGTGGCCCCTAAGACTGTTGCGGGGAAAGAGCACGGAGCTTCCTCCCTGGGCCGAGGGGAACAAGTCTCGAAGAAGGCCAAGGTCGCCCCCAAGTTTCATTCCACTGAGCAGGTACATGAGGGTGCAGATGAGAGGATGGCCGAACGGATCAGCCATGACACCCAGCATACAGTTACTTACGCCTTCCCATCTTCGAGTGCCTCGATTATGCTTGAAGGCTTCCCGGTCGTGGATTATGCTTCATCAATCCTTCCACCAGGAGACCTCGCCCGTACGACTTCCCAAGAGTTTCATTCCCTCTTGGAGGGTTCTATCCGGTCACATATTGAGGTAGGTTGATCACGTCTTGACGTGGATTGTGTTTATCCCTGAACCCCCTCACATTTTCGTTTGTCTATTTTGCAGGGGCACGCCAAGACCATCAGGGCACTCCACGCGGCCAATCATTCTCAGGCCAGGCTTCAGCGTGAGGCTGACGAAGCTAGGGCTGCCCTGTGGGCCAGCCAGAAAGCCTTCTCCGAGCTGCAGTCCTCGCGTACACAAGAATATGAAGAAGCGGCCAAATAAGGAGCCAAGAAAGCGCTCTCCAAGTTCCAGGCCTCCGAGCAGTACCAGAAGATCATCTCTGCGAGGGTGCAAGCGGAACAGTCTGAACTAGTGCATAGGTGGATGAGGACCCCCGACGGAGAGTATTGGCGCGCTCGCGAAGTCCTCTATGCTTTTCAGAGTGGCAAGTATTTGATGCAGCAGAAGGTGTATGGCCGATTGCAGAATCTCGACCTTGACTTTCACCCATCCACACTTGGCCTTCCGGGTCGCATGAAGAAACCCGTGGAAGCGATAGCCTTTCTTCCTCCAGAGGCCGTCCGCCGGGAGGAGGCGCTTGGTGGTTCGAATGAGTGGGCCTTGTTCTTTCCGCCAGCTCCGGGGAACATGACTCCTGTGGCCCCTGGTCAGGACTTGGTTGGCGTGTTAGATCATATTCCTGAGGTTGATGGTGATGGGCCTGTCCAGCCATGATCTTGTATTTTGTATTTCCTTTGTTTTCCACTTGAATGCTATGTGTTTCGAATGGATGTTTGATTTTGAACTTATATGTCTCCTTTTCTCTACTTTGCATTACGAATACTTAGCAGTTTATTCGGGGATCCGGCTTCTCTAACCTCCCGGGGGCTGTTAGGCTGGCGTGGCCGAGCCTATCTGTGCCCCTCCTGGTTGGATAGAAGTGATCTGTTCGCTGTCGATATGGAATCAACAAGTACGCGACTTGTTCGGCCAGCAAGGTCAGACATTGAACCTACGACGAGGACCCTTAGGTCGGTATCCTGAACGTTCATGACCCGGGGGTCAGTCCTACTGTCACTTTAACCTGTCCAGTTTGCCCGGACATAGGGAATAATCTGGTTACTCCCGCAGGGATAGCCAAACAACAGGGGCGGACCCTGCATGATCCACCAGAACGGACCCGCATCGCCAACTCAAGGATGGCGAGAGCGCGAGCTGCTTGATCAGCGATGTTAGGCGGCGAGCACTCGAAAGGACCCGAAGGTCAGCATCCTGAGCGCCCTCGACCCGGAGGTCGGCCCTACTATCGCCTCGACTGTCGCGGCTGGATCTTTACTTTATAAAATTTCCCGGATTCTCAAAAATCGCTTGGCTATTTTCAGTTCAAGAGCCTCGCCGATGTCGGCCAAACACCAAGGGGGGCATAGTACCTCTTTTTTTCTTTCTTTCTTTTTTTTCCTTTTTCTTTTTTTTGTTGCCGCCCTTTATTGCTAAGTGAGGTCGGACCTCTTTCGAAGACAAAATATCGCTATCAAAATATATTGAATTCATGATGTGGGCGGACCACATGAAGAATTACAAATTTTAATCCCGTGCTCGGAGCACGGGAGTTTACAAAGAAAGTAAAGTTTCGATTTTCTACTGATAAAACTTCATCAGGTGCTCGGCATTCCAGACGCGATCTACTAGTCGGCCTGTTGTTGTCTTCAACTTGTATGTTCCAGGGCCGATCACGGCGTCAACCACGTAAGGGCCTTCCCGCTTGATGGAAAACTTACCTCCCTCTGTCGGCTTGCTCGCCTTCCTACGCCTCAAGACGTAGTCACCGACGTCAAAACTCCGGGGCCGGGCTCGGCTGTCCTGGTACGCCTTGACTTGCCGTCGGTAGTTTTCCGCTTTGATGAAGGCACGGTCTCTTCTTTCCTCGATGAGGTGGAGCTCGGCTCGGAGCCTCTCCTCATTGCTGGCTGGTTCAAACTCTTCCACCCGTCAGCTGGGGACTACGGCCTCGAACGGTGCCCTCGCCTCAAAGCCATAACACAGGGCAAAGGGGGTCTCTCCGGTTGCCTTCCTAGGGGTTGTTCTGAAGGTCCCGAGTATATTGTTCAACTCCTCCACCCAGGCAGTCCCAAGGGCCTCCAATTTCTTTTGCAGCCCATCGACAATCGTCCGGTTGGTGTTCTCCACCTGTCCATTTGCTTGAGGGTAGCAAACCGCAACTCGGCTAGATTCTACGCCACACTCTGCGCAGAACTGCCGGAAGGCTTCGCAGTCAAACTGCCTTCCGTTGTCGGAGATTATTTGGAGGGGAACCCCAAACCGGCAAAAAATATTATTCCATATGAATTTCTTACATTGAAGATGCGTGATGCTGGCGAGTGGCTCGGCCTTCACCCACTTCGTAAAGTAGTCCACCGCGACGATGATGAACTTTCGGTTTCCCGACCCGGTTGGCAGGGGACCGACCAGGTCGACGCCCCATCTTGTGAATGGAAGGGCGGTGCTGATCGGTGTGTACATCGTGGCTGGCCGGCCAGGACTCTTCTGGAATTTCTGACATGTCTCACATTTCCTTGCATAGTCGGCGCAATCCTTCATTATTGTCGGCCAAAAGTACCCCTGGAGGAGGACCTTCCTAGCTATCTTGCATGCCCCTTGGTGGGCGGAGCACACGCCCCCATGGAGTTCGGAAACGATCATGTCTGCCTCATGTGGGCGCAAACACTTTAGCAGGGTCCCATTGTAGGACATCTTGTATAGCTTCCCATCCAAGACAACGTAGCCCGGAGCCCGTCGTCAGACTAGCCTTGCTTCCTCTTCTTTATCGGGGAGAGTCCCGTCGGCTATGTAGCGCAGGAGGTCATCCGCCCAGCACCAGGCGACCGGTTGCAGGGGAAGGACCTCGATGGACAGTGATGTTGCTATACTTGAGGGCGTCATCTCTTCAATGCGTGCGATTTTTGAAATGTGTTCAGGTAGTCCCTGGGATAGTTTTGAGAGGAGGTCTGCATCATTGTTTTGATTTCTCGGGATGCAGATCAACTCTGCTTGCTTGAAGAACCAGAGCAACTCCCGAACAGCATCTCAGTACTTCATCATTCTTTCTTCCTTCGCTTCGAACTCACCTTTGACCTGGGAAACCACCAGGCGGGAGTCACATTTCACTGTTATCCACTCTGCTCCCATGGAGGCTGCCAGTCGTAGCCCAGACAGTAGGGCCTCGTACTCTACCTCATTGTTGGAGAGTTTGAAAAGATAGCGGTAGACATAGTAGGCTCAGAATCCCTCAGGTGAGATGAGGACGATTCCGCCCCCGCATCCCTTGGCTCATGCCGACCCATCAGTCTCTAGAGTCCATCACTGTTCATTTCTCTCTTGTTGCCTCTCTGCCACCTCTCGGGCCGTGCATTCCATAATGAAATCAGCCAGATCCTGGCCTTTGATGGACGTCTGAGGCTGGAAGTCAACCTCATATTGGTTCAGGAGCATCGACCACTTCACTACCCGGGTTGTGCCGGGCGCCCTCAGAGCGGCACCTAGGGTTGGTCCGACAGGATTCTAATCGGGTGTGCTTGGAAGTAGTGTGTCAACTTCTTTGCGGTGATGTAGGCGGCATATATTGTCTTCTCGAGCGGGGTGTACCGGAGCTCAACATTGTGGAGGGTCTTGCTTACATAGTAGATGGGATGCTGGACGCTTTCCTCCTCGTGAACCAGCACGGAACTGATTCCGCCTTGGGAAACCCCAAGATAAAGGATTAACGTCTCCCCCCTCTCCGGCTTGATGAGTAAAGGCTCAGAGAGGAGGTACTTCTTCAGGTCGTCGAAGACTCGCTGACACTCATCATTCCAGACAAAACCATTTTGTTTCTTTAGGGCCTGGAAGAAGGGTAGGGATTTCTCGGCAGACTTGGACATGAAGCGTCTAAGGGCTGCTAGCCGGCCGTAGAGAATCTGAACTTCTTTCATCAACCTCGGGGGTTCCATGTCAAGTATTGCCCTTACCTTTTCGGAATTTGGCTCAATCCCCCTCCGTGTGACCATGTACCCCAGGAACTTGCCTCCCTGGACGGCAAAGGTACACTTCTTCGGGTTCAGGCGCAGTCGGACTTCCTTCATGATCCTGAAGATCTCTACCAAGTCATCTGCATGATCGGATGCCCGAGTGCTCTTGACGATCATGTCGTCGACGTAAGCCTCCATGTTCCTTCCGAGTACCTTCCAGAATACCTTGGCCACCATCCTCGTGTATGTCGCCCCAAAATTTTTCAGCCCGAAGGCCATGACAAGATAACAAAAAATTCCCTCTGGGGTGATGAACGAGGTCTCATCCGCATCGTCTTCATGCATGAAAATCCGACGGTATCCTCGAAAAGCGTCCATGAAGCTAAGGAGCTTACATCCGACCGTCCCATCGACTATTTGGTCGATGTTAGGCAATGGGAATGGATCCATCGGACATGCCTTGTTAAGATTGGTGTAGTCAACACACATCCTCCAGGTTGGCGGTTTCGGGGCCAGGACCACATTTGCCAGCCAGACCGGGTACAAGACCTCCCGAATATGCTTGATACTCAGGAGCATGTTGACCTCCTTCTTCACAAATTCCCTCCTCTCGTTTGAGAGGTGTCTTCTCTTCTGCTGGACGGGCTTCGTTGTTGGGTCGACCGCCAGCCGATGGACGACGATGCTTCAGTCGAGGTCGGGCATGTCCTCCGGTCCCCATGCAAAGGCAACGCTAAAAAGGAAAAGGACCCGGATGATCTTCTCCCTTAAGCCGGCCGGGAGCCCGGTCCCGATCTTGACCTTTCGCTCCGGCTTCTCGGGGTCAATTTGGATTTCCTCCACTTCTGAGGTGGGTTCAGCGCGGAGCTGACCCTCCTCATACTTCACAGATTTGTTGTTGATGGTGTGGACCCTCAAGTTTTTCTGACCGATTTGTTTGCAAGCTTTCAAATAGCAGCTCCTTGCCATCCGCTGGTCTCCCCTGGAAACACTAACACCAATCAGAGTGGGAAACTTCATGCATAGGTGCTCTTGGGATATCACACATCTGAGGTCTTCCAGGGCCGGCCTACCCATGATGATCTTATGCGCACAAGTTAGGCGTACAACGATAAACTCGATGTCTAACTTGGATACGCAGAGCTCGGAGCCCACCATCACGGGGAGGACTATGCTGCCCTCCGACTCAATGGAGTCCCTGGTGAAGCCCGATAGTGGGGTTCTTATTGGGATCAAGTCCTTTCGGTCCAAGCCCAGACCCTAGAAGGTGTCATAGTACATGACGTTAACAGAGCTCCCATTGTCCACCAGGACTCGGTGGATGATCGTGTTATTGATTTCGACCTTGATCACCAAGGCATCCCTGTGCGGGTGAGGCATCGGTGGCAAATCTGCGTCGGTGAAGAAGATGGGATCCCTCTTCACCCTCTTGTCGGCGGGAGCCCTGGTTATCTCCCCGACGTACAAGGCTCGGGCCCACTTCTTACGTTCTCCAGACGTATCGCCTCCCTGGGGTCCCCCGAATATGAACGAACATCGATGGTACTTCCG